GGCTTTGCTAATTACACCGCTTCCCTCTGCATCCAATAAAGTATGGAGATTTTCCTTGGCCCTCCTTTTGTTGTTAATTTATTTGTAAAAACTCTTTTAATTATCTTTCACAGCAGTGGCTAAATTGAGTTCTAGCAAAGCTTTTGCCTTTCTAATTTTGTCTCTACATGACCTAACAATACCCTTGTATTCTTCCTGAGTACTTCTTCCAAAGGTCAAAACCTCTCTTTTTTAACCTGAGTCCCAGCGAAAGCTCCCTGTTTAGACAGGCTGGTCTTTTTCCCTGCTGGCTGTCTTTCAGCACATGGAGACAGCCTGATCCTGCACCTTTAGTATTTCCTTCTTAAAGTATATCCAGCCTTCCTTGACTCCTTTCTTATTAAAGACTCTTTCCCCAAGGACTATTCGAACCAGTGCCCTGAAGGGGCCAAAGTCTGTCCTCTGGTAGTCCCTGGTGCAGGTTTTGTTGACGTCCTTTCTTCTTTCACCAAGAATTGAAAACTATCACTTCATGGTCACTATGCCCAAGACAACCTCCAACCCCCACATCACCCACCAGTCCTTTTCTGTTCACAAACAGCAGGTCCAGTGGGGCATCTTCCCTTGCTGCTTCACACACCTGCTCTGCCAGGATGTTACCTTCTAGGAAGGTAACGCTCTAGGAACCTCCTAGACTGCCTCCTCTCTACTGTGTTGAGTTTACAGCAGACATCTGGCAAGTTAAAATCTCCCACAAGAACAAGGGCCAGTGATCATGAGACATCTGCCAGCTGCTTGTAGAATGCTTTGTCTGCCTTTGCATTCTAGTTGGGTGGTCTATAACAGAATCCCACCAGGACATCTGCCTTGTTGGCCTTCCCTCTGATTCTTACCTATAGGCACTCAAACTTATCACTATCCTTGATCTCTATACAACTGAAACATTCCCTAATGTACAGAACCACACCACCACCTCTCCTTTCTTGCCTAATGGGATGATCTATGAGACTGTCCTAATTACAGGGGCCAGGAACAGTTTATCACTATGTGGGTATAACCAAAACTGTGTACTCTACACTTTCTCTGTCATTTCTGATGGACTGTTAATAATGGATCATTTGCAGCAGCTGCCCAGGGTACACCTGACACCTCAGGCTACAAGCTGGGTGTTAAAGAATCCTGTGAGGAGCATTTTCTTTGTCTTCACACAATGACTCAGCTGTGATAACTCTCCTCCAGGGAGGCATTAGCACCTTCACACCTAGCCTGAGGGGTCATCTCTGCTAAGGGGCCATACTGGACTGGCATAATAGTCACCTGCAATGACCTAGACCATCAAAGATCTCAAAAATATCCCATGACTCACAGAGTTAAATTACCCATTGTGAAACTCCCCGCCCTGGGGGAGGTACTGGGCATTCCCATCTGAACCCAAGCACATATAATCTTTGGGGTTTGGGACATTGGTACCGTTCATCGGATCCAGAGGAGGACCATAACTTCAACAGGACTGCGACCGCCACTCTCAACAAGACTGCGATCTTTACTTTGACAGAACTGCGACCATCGGCGAGGCCAACAGGTTTCTTTTCTTTTTGTTTTGCATCCAGGGGGCCACGTGGTGCTCAGCACGGGGACTAATGAACACCATTCTGTTCTTGTCCCAGGGTGATGGATTAAACATCTGTCTTTGGGAGTTAAAACCAGTTTTCTCTGTATCATTGTATTTATTGTAATATTTTTAGTAAATTTTAACTATGACTTTTAGTCTCTCTCAAGTTGGGTTCATTTCTACCCCTAGTTTACTTTAAACCAGCATAGAGACCAAAAGTTTAAAATGTATTTTGGCAGGCACTTAAAATGTGCTCATTTCTTCTAGCAGTAGAACCTAAGGCGACTGAAGGCCTACACCAAGACCTTAAACCATCTTGTCCAGGAGCTGCTTTATGCTGATGACGCCGCCCTTGTTGCCCACACAGAAGCAGCTCTGCAGTGTTTAACATCCTGCTTTGCAGACGCTGCTGAGCTCTTTGGGCTGGAAGTCAGCTTAAAGAAGACAGAAATTCTCTATCAACCTGCACCTCAGGAAGTCTTCCTTCATCCCCATATCACCATTGG